GTACACGTCTCGAACGGACTTGTGGTCATCTTTGTTCATAGATCGCCGTCATTGCCGCTTCAGCCCAGAAACACTTCTCCAGCTTTGCATGATGCAACAAGCTGCGTCCGATCGTGACGATGGTCCTTATCGCGCGTTCTGCGGTGCCGTTGGTCTGGTGTGCATACGGCACCGTGATCTGTTGTTCAATACCATGATCTTCGTAGAAGGTCTTGATGGAGTTGGTCGCAAACTCATGCGCTCCATCGTGCCGAACAAACTTGGATCTTCGTGCCGAACTGAGTTTGAATCTTGATAATGTGGTTCTTGATACAGTCTTCACTCTCAGACTTGGACCGCAGACAGAAGCCCTTCATGCAACCGCTGGCTTCGTCAACCACAAGCAGTAAGTATCTGCTGCCGCCGATCGAAACTTGTTCCATTGGCCCGCAGATGTCGAAGTGCAGCAACTCGAACACACCATATTGGCGTTTGTCACGGTTGGTTGGGAATGGTTTTTGAACCATCTTTCCTTGCTGGCAACCGCGACACACACTTGGACCAGTCGAGTTGAGAGGTGCCTTGGCGTCCTTGATCATGCCAGTGGCCACCATCTTGCGCAGAACTTCGAGGGGTGCATGACCCATGCGCGCATGCAAGTCGATGGTCCCATTGCGTGTTGCTGCATTTGCCGATCGTTGAGGAGTCCGCAGCCAGTAAAGTCCATCGACGAGATCCGCTGTTGCCACGACTTGTGTGGAATTCTTGCGCTTCACTTGCATCTTGGATCCATCGAACACGACTTGGAACCTGCCACCCTTGTTGATCTGTGGCACCGAAAGCAGATTCTTGCTCATACTTGGTACGAACAGTGCGTCCTTGATCTCGATGTCGAGTTCGTCACCATTGGGCAGAACCACCCGTTCCATGATGGTTCCCACACCCTTGATCGCAGCCTTGCTGCCATCAGCCACTGATAGTTCGCCTTCCTCTCGCTCATTCAGGCTTGCAAACTTGGCCTTGTCGTTGCAGATGTGATGCGTCGCACCGCTGTCGACTGCCCACATCCCTGGCATATTCTTGCCCGTCGAAAGTCCAGCCTCCAGCGAAACCGCGAACGCAACTCGATCGTAGTTGTCATCGTAGTTGCTGTTGGTTCGCCACTGAACGTTGTTGGCTCCGCGTCCACGAGCATTGTTGCCGCCGCGTCGAGCTCCACCTTGATTTTCGTCCTTCTGCTTGGTCCAGCACCGCTCCGCCGTGTGCCCCAATTTTCCGCAGTATGTACACTGGCGAGGTTCACGCTCGGCACTGAACGCCTTCGCCGCGTCTTCAGTCTTCACCGATGTCGTCTTGTCACCTTGTCTCTTGATGTGCTCATTCGTGAGCACTCTCTCGACGTCTCACGATCGCAGTTCCGCGCTGCTCATCTCCAAGTTGAGAACGACGTTCTCGTAGCTCTTGGGGAGGCTGCGCAACAAGCAGATCGCCACGTCCTCGTCCTCCATCTTGGCGCCGATGCTGCTGAGCTTCGCGCTGATGTTGAGGACTTCGTTGCAATGATGCATCACATTGCCGCCTTCCGCCATCTCCATGCTGAACAGCTGGCGCTTCAAGTAGATGCGTCCAGCCTTCTGCGACCCGCCGTACAGCGTCTTCAAACGCGCCCACGCGACCCACGCCTCTTCACAGTCATCAACCACGTGATGATAATCCGCGCTCATGTGCAGCAGCATCAAGCCGAACGCAATGTTGTTCGTCTTGATGTAGTCGTCACTGGCGCGAGGATCGGCGAAGGTGGGGGTGGTCTCCCGGTTCACCACGTGCCACGCCGACTTGGTCAGGAACACGCCACGCATGTAGCGGCTCCACGTCGCGTAGTTGTCGCCGTCGAACTTGTCGATGGAGATCTTGGTGGTGGCATCATGAGCAGAGGACATCGTGCTTGGGCTCATAACCTGTTGAATGGTGAAAATTGACCGATGGAGCTTGACGACCGAAACTGGGAGTGATGCTGGGGAGTCTACTCGGAGGACCGGAGAACACACTTGGGAGAAGATGGAAGATCGAAGAAACGATTGATTATCGGGGCTTACTACTTACTACATGATTTAATGTGGTGCAAATATAAATCATGTGAAGCATCGTGAACTTATCCTACGAGTCTAATCAACATGGTAATTCCGTAAGAACACGTCTAAATAGTAAGCGATTCAGGCGTGATTGAGACCCGGTCACGGTTACCAATACTGGTAGAAACCGATGACCGTCAACAGAGCTCGAGTCAATGCGACTTCGCGGTGTGTTTCGTGCAGCCAAGCTGCCCAACGGACAACGCGCCATCGGCACAAAATGGGTGTTCAAGATCAAGCGCAAGGCGGATGGGTCAATCGAGAAGTACAAGGCACGACTTGTGGCCAAGGGTTTCCGCCAAAAGTATGGCATCGACTACACGGAGACGTTTTCGCCGGTAGTCAAGTACGTGACGCTGCGCATGGTGGTTGCAATCACGAAGTACTTTGACTGGACACTGGACCAACTGGACGTGGTGACAGCTTTCCTATACGGAGAAATGAAGAGCAGGTATTCTGCGCGATCCCAGAAGGGATCGAGGTTGATGAAGACTTTGACTGCTTTGAACTGGTCAAGGCGATCTACGGACTAAAACAAGCATCGCGTGTATGGAACGAGACTTTCCATGAGTTCGTCTGCTCCACTGGATTTCAAGTATCCGATTTTGACCCGTGTCTTTATCTCAAGATTACAAGTGGCGAGTGCGTGCTTTTGCTGGTATACGTCAATGATGTGCTGGTGACTGGCAGTTCGACCGAACTGATTATGCGCACCAAGAGTGACTTAAAGGCGCGTTTCGAAATGACTGACAGCGGCAAGTGCGCATTCGTGTTGGGCATCGAGCTGGTGGACAACGACAACGGTAGCGTGACGATGTGCCAGCGACGCTACGTGGAAGATGTTCTCAAACGTTTTGGCATGAGCGACTGCAAAGCCGTCACCAGCCCAACAGACACCAGTTCTCGACTCATACCAAGCACCGCAGCAATGAAGTTCTCCACATCAGCGCCAAGCTCAGCAGTATCGGTGCCAAGATGGAGGATGAGGACGTGGCGATCTGCTTGTTGTGCAGCCTCCCCAAGAGCTACGAGAATGTCGTGCTGAACTTGGAGATGAGCAGCGTGGAACTGCGGACGCAAGACGCCGTGAAAGAGCTGACGAGTGAGTACATCAAGAGACAAGGAAACAAGGAAACAAGACGACGTCGGTGAAAACTGAAGAAGCGACCAGGGCCTTCAGTACCGAGCGTGAGGTTCGTTAGTGTACGTTCTGTGGGAAATTGGGGCACATGGTGGTAAAGTGCTGGACCAAGCAGAAGGAAGACAATCGGGGAGCTCGACGCGGCGGCAATGCTGGTGGACGCGGAGCGAATCAAGTTCAGTGGAAAAGCTACAACGGCAACAACAACTATGACCATGATTGAGTGGCGTTTTCTGTTTTGCCGGAATGCGGACTTTCAACGACCAGGAGCATGTCTGGAATGTGGGCGATTGACAGCGGTACAACACATCACATCTGCTATGACAAGTCCAAGTTCGAAGTTATGGACGAGCGCAATGAAGGTGAAGTGTTGGTTGCAGAGGCGAGCAAGGCTGCGATCAACGGTGTTGGGACGATCATCGAAAAGGTGGTCCTGTCAAATGGTGAAGAGCGCGAAGTCAAGATCAAGAACGCGCTTTATGTTCCAAGAATGAACAAGAACTTGCTGTCGATACCACAAATCAACAAAAGCGGCAAGTTTCAAGTGGTGTTTGATGTTGAAGAAATGAAGATTTCGCACAAAGGCTCCAAGCAAGTAATGGCGATGGCCGATCTTGTGGATTGTTGACGGTCATCGGTTTTCTACCAGTGTTGGTAACCGTGACCGATCCAATCCGAACCGCCTGTTCAGCTTAGTATTTACGACGTAGTTCTTACGGTAATTACCATAGTTGATTAGACGCGTAGGATGATGAGACGCTTCACATGATTTATATGTACACCACATATAAATCATGTAGTAAGTAGTAAGCCCCGATAATCAATCACTTTCAAATCTTTCAACTATTGGGCAAGTGTTTTCTGCTCTACTCTCTTCGGTCTCTCCGCTCCGTTCGCTCCGCTTTCCTCTCTCCGATCTACAATGCAACAGGTTATGAGCCCAAGCGCCATGTCGTCCACCAGCAACGCCTCCATTGACAAGTTCAACGGAGACAATTACGCAACGTGTAGCCGGTACATGCGCGGTGTGTTTTTGACGAAGTCCGTCTGGCACGTCGTCAACCGTGAAGTGAATCCGACTTTCACCGACCCGCGAGCGTCCGATGACTACGTCAAGGCAAGCAACGTCGCGTTTGGTATGATGCTGCTGCACATGAACGCGGACTACCATCATGTGCTGGACAACTGCGAGGAAGCCTGGGTTGCGTGGACAAGTCTGAAGACGCTGTACGGTGGGTCGCAGAAGGCAGGACGCATCTACCTCAAGCGACAACTTTTCAGTATCAAGATGGCTGAAGGCGCGAACGTCATGCATCACTGCAACGAGGTCCTTGATGAACTTTAGACTTCTTGGTCCGAGTGCAAAACGCAAAGTGAATATATATTTATAATAGGTACTTAGTTCGCAACTTTGAATACTACCTCTAAGCCTATTATTCGCAGTGACGTCATGCAATGACGTCATTTCCTGACTTCGCCCTTACTGGTACATACCGGTACCCACCGGTATAGCGAAGCTTGGTCTTCCACTTGATGTAACACTTGACGCAGCTTGACGAGGTGTCTTCTTCACCGCCGCTGTCTTTTCAACACTCCCTCTCGACTCGTTAGCTGCGGCACCTTGGATCCCAAGTCGATCGCGAATGTTTTCAAATTGTACAGCGGCGATCGGCTTGGTCGTCATGTCTGCCAGCATATCTTGAGTCGAGCAATACTCCAAAACGACTTCACCTGATTCCACCTTCTCACGCACAAAATGGTAGCGTATGTCGATGTGTTTTGTTCTCTTATGGAACTCCGGGTTCTTGGCGAGAGCGATTGATCCTTGGTTGTCTTCATACATCTTGATCGCTTCGTCGCTTGTCATCTCACCAAGTTCACCCAAAAGCACCTTGAGCTACACTGCTTCTTTGGTTGCTTCGGAAAGCGCCATGTATTCTGCTTCTGTTGAAGATAGCGCGACCGTCCGTTGTTTCTGGCTTTTCCAGCTGATGCATCCTCCGTTCATCATGAACACATAGCCGCTTGTACTTCGTCTTGACTCAATGTCGCCGGCCCAGTCTGCGTCGGTGTACCCGCAGATACGGCTTCCTTCTTCACGTGTAAACTCAAGACCATGATTGGGCGTTGCTTGCAGGTATCTCAGCACACGCTTCAAAGCTTGCCAGTGAGTCGGGCATGGGTCGGACGAGAACTGGGATAATGATCCCACTGCAGCAGCTAGATCCGGACGTGTGGCGACCATGAGATACATGATGCCTCCGACAGCACTTCGATATGGCACGTTGCACATGGTGTCTTCGTGCTTGCATTCTTGTTCACACATGTTCTTGGTTAGCTTCAGGCCGGGATCTTGAGGCGTCTTCACTGGCTTGCTGTTATCCATTCCTAACTTGGTCAACACGGACTTGAGAAACTTGGTTTGTTGCACAGTCACCATTCCCGTCTTACGGTCGTTCTTGATCTCCATGCCGAGAAAGTAATCGAGCTCACCGAGATCCGTCATTTCGAAGCGTTTGCTCAGCGCCATCTTGGTCGACTTGAGGAGTTCGTTGTTGCTGCTGGCCAGGATGAGATCATCGACGTAGAGCACCACGAGAATCACGTCTTGGTCGTCTCGCTTGATGTAGATGCAGTGGTCCGATTCGCACTTCTTGAATCCCATCTTGATCATGAACCCATCGATTGTTTGGTTCCACATGCGAGGCGATTGCTTCAAGCCGTAGAGTGATCTCTTTAGCTTGCACACATAGTCCGGCTGTGTTGCATCCAGGTATCCGTCCGGCTAGTCCATGTAGATGTCTTTGTTGAGGGAGCCGTTAAGAAACGCTGTCTTGACGTCCATCTGATGTAGCATTAGGCCGTACTTGGCCGCCATACTGAGCACCACACGAATCGATGTGAACTTGGCCACCGGTGCGAAAGTTTCTTCATAGTCAACTCCGAATTTCTGTGAGAATCCTTTGGCCACAAGTCTTGCCTTGAAACGTTCAACTTCGCCATCTTGATTCTCCTTTACACGAAAAACCCATCGGCACCCGATGGCCTTGCGACCTTTCGGAAGAGGCACGATTTCCCACGTGTCGTTTCTCTGAAGCGAGTCGAACTCCGAGTCACACGCTTCTTTCCACTTGCCGGAGTCGCTTGATTCCATCGCCGACTTGAATGTAGTCGGCGTTTCCCCCACTGAATCAACGATGTAGGCTGCTTCAAAATCCATTGCAGCCGCTGACACATGCTCAAGCGACGGACCTCTGTACGTTCTTCGCTTGGGACTTGGAATGACGGTAGCTTTCTCAAGTGATTGAGTGCGCGTGTGTCTCTTGATGTTGCTCTTCGAAGACCTGGTGTCTTCGTTGTCATCGTCGCTCGAGTCCATGTCGTCGTCAGTTTTACCTTCTTCTTTTTCTTCGTCCTCGTCTTGATCATCAAACTCAACGGCACTTGACTCATCGTTGTAGTTGCGCGGACCTTCATCAAACTTGTCTTCCATGAATGTGGCATCGCGACTGATCTTGATCGCTCCCTGTTGACACTTCCTCAAATCGATATGACTTCTGGTGTTCGGCGTATCCCAGGAAACGACAGAGTGATGACTTGGAGTCGAACTTCGTGCGTTTGTCTTGAGGCACTTGAACATACGCGTGGCATCCAAACACTTTAAGGTTGGCCAGAATCGGTTTCTTCATCGTCCACACTTGATATGGAGACTTGTCTTGGTGAATGGCACGTGTTGGACAGCGGTTTCGAAGAAACATCGCCGTCATCACTGCTTCACCCCAGTATCTCTTTCCCAGTCCAGCGTGTTCCATCATGCAACGCGCACACTCGACCAGCGTGCGATTCATTCTCTCAGCTACTCCGTTTAGCTGAGGAGTATATGGGGGTGTGAACCTTTGTTGTATTCCCCGTTGTTGACTGGTGAAAAGCTTGACGACCAAAACTGGGAGTGATGCTGGGAGTCTACTCGGAAGACCGGAGAAGACACTTGGGGGGTAGATGGAAGATTGGAAAGTGATTGATTATCGGGGCTTACTACTTACTACATGATTTATATGTGGTGTACATATAAATCATGTGAAGCGTCTCATCATCCTACGCGTCTAATCAACTATGGTAATTACCGTAAGAACTACGTCGTAAATACTAAGCTGAACAGGCGGTTCGGATTGGACCGGTCACGGTTACCAATACTGGTAGAAACCGATGACCGTCAACAGTCTTGATCATCAAACTCAACGGCACTTGACTCATCGTTGTAGTTGCGCGGACCTTCATCAAACTTGTCTTCCATGAATGTGGCATCGCGACTGATCTTGATCGCTCCTGTTGACACTTCCTCAAATCGATATGACTTCTGGTGTTCGGCGTATCCCAGGAAACGACAGAGTGATGACTTGGAGTCGAACTTCGCGCGTTTGTCTTGAGGCACTTGAACATACGCGTGGCATCCAAACACTTTAAGGTTGGCCAGAATCGGTTTCTTCATCGTCCACACTTGATATGGAGACTTGTCTTGGTGAATGGCACGTGTTGGACAGCGGTTTCGAAGAAACATCGCCGTCATCACTGCTTCACCCCAGTAGCTCTTTCCCAGTCCAGCGTGTTCCATCATGCAACGCGCACACTCGACCAGCGTGCGATTCATTCTCTCAGCTACTCCGTTTAGCTGAGGAGTATATGGGGGTGTGAACCTTTGTTGTATTCCCCGTTGTTGACTGGTGAAAAGCTTGACGACCAAAACTGGGAGTGATGCTGGGAGTCTACTCGGAAGACCGGAGAAGACACTTGGGGGGTAGATGGAAGATTGGAAAGTGATTGATTATCGGGGCTTACTACTTACTACATGATTTATATGTGGTGTACATATAAATCATGTGAAGCGTCTCATCATCCTACGCGTCTAATCAACTATGGTAATTACCGTAAGAACTACGTCGTAAATACTAAGCTGAACAGGCGGTTCGGATTGGACCGGTCACGGTTACCAATACTGGTAGAAAACCGATGACCGTCAACACGCCCCCTCAATCCGAACTCGCACGAATGCCGAGAGCCGTCGTCAAGTCCTTGTGACGAGGTCCCGAAAGTCCCTTGGTCATGATGTCCGCCATCATCACGGAAGTCTCGCAATACTCGAGCTTCACTTCACCGCGCTTGACTTCATCACGGATGTGATGGTACTTGATGTCGATGTGTTTAGCGCGGCCGTGGTTGACCGGATTCTTCGTCATCTTGATGCACGACTGGTTGTCTTCACGGATGACGAGGTCCGGTCCTGGTTCGTTTGCGGCCGCCAAAATCTCGCATAGCAGGCGATGCACCCACTTGCCTTCCTGGATGGCCAGACTCAGTGCGATGTATTCCGCTTCACTCGTCGACAGCGACACACTTGACTGCTTCTTGCTTCCCCAACTCACAGGAGCACCCATCAGCATGAAAGTGTAACCCGGAAGTCGACTTGCGATCAGCGTGGTCGCCGGCCCAGTCCGCGTCCGAGTAGCCACGAAAGTCGATCTTGTCGCTTGGCTGGAAGCGGAGTCCGTGCGACTTGGTCCCTTGCAAGTAACGAAAGATGCGCTTCACCGCCGTCCAATGTTCTTGCTGCGGATTCTCCATGAAGCGCGAGACGTACCCCACAGCATACGCAATGTCCGGGCGCGTCGCAGTCGTCAAGTGCATCAAAGCTCCCACAGCTTCACAAAACGGAACGTCGATCTTGGCCGCTTCGGTGCTTGCGACAAGCCGAGTGCTCAAGTCGACCGGACTTGCTGTGGCCTTGCACTCATCCATGCCGAAGCGCTTGAGGATGTCGTTGACATACCGTCGCTGGCACATTGTCACGCTGCCATCCGATTCGTCCACCAGTTCGATGCCCAGTACAAAAGTACACTTGCCACTGTCGGTCATCTCGAAACGCGTCTTGAGGTCGGCCTTCGTCTGCGCAATCAACTCGAGCGAGCTGCCGGTGACCAACACGTCATCCACGTAGACCAGCACGAGCACACAGTGACCGTCGACAACCTTGATGTAGAGACATGGGTCGAACGCCGACGCTTCGAAACCGATGGAGCATACGAACTCGTCGAAAGTCTCGTTCCACACACGTGAAGCTTGCTTGAGACCGTAGATCGCCTTCACCAAGTCGAGACAGTCGAAGTCGCCATCCATCTCGACGCCTTCTGGTATCACGCAGTACACCTTCTCCTTCATCACTCCGTAGAGAAAGGCTGTCACCACATCGAGTTGGTCCAGTGGCCAGTCGAAATACTTGGTGATCGCGATCACCATACGCAGTGTCACGTACTTGACCACGGGCGAGAACGTCTCTGTGTAGTCGATGCCGTACTTCTGCTTGAAGCCCTTGGCAACGAGACGCGCCTTGTATTTCTCGACCGATCCATCCGCTTTGCGCTTGATCTTGAACACCCACTTGGTGCCGATCGCGCCTTGGCCTCTTGGCAGTTTTGCCGCACGGAAAACTCCACGAAGATGCATCGACTTGAGTTCCGCCTTCACAGCATTTTGCCAGTGAGTTTGATCAGGACCATTGATCGCGTCTTGAAAAGTCACAGGTTCTGCTAGGTCCGTTGCTTCCACTGCGTTTGCACTTGCACGCCAAAATGTTGGAGGCGTCGAGTCGTCATCTTGATCGTACACGCTTGCATCTTCTTCGTCATCAGACATCGTTTCTGGAGCACTTGATCGTCGTTTCTGGTGACGGTTGGAGACGTGTTCCGGCGCACTTGCTTGTTCCAACCCAGTTCGAGGGCGAGCTGACCGTGACATGCCGGGTCTTGCTTCACTCTTGCGCTTGCCAGTCTGCTTGTAGACGGTTTGACGCACGTCGTCCTCGTTGATCGCCAGGAGGTCGAGGTCCAACTCCGCATCTTCATCATCGTCACTTGGTCGGTCCATCGAAAAGTCAAAAGTCGATTCGTCGAAGGTGATGTCACGACTGATCACCACTTGGCCCGTCTCAATGTCGTACACTCGATAAGCTTTTGACGCTTCTTCGTAGCCCATGAACATCCCTTCACAAGCCTTCGGGTCCCACTTCAATCGCTTCTCCCTTGGTGTCAGGATAAACGCCCGACATCCAAACACGCGCATGTGCTTGACACTTGGTTTCGACTTGTACACGATCTCGAACGGAGTCTTGTGGTCGATCTTGGGTGAAGGCAGGCGGTTCTTGATGTAGATCGCCGTCATTGCCGCTTCAGCCCAGAAACACTTCTCCAGCTTTGCATGATGCAACAAGCTGCGTCCGATCGTGACGATGGTCCTTATCGCGCGTTCTGCGGTGCCGTTGGTCTGGTGTGCATACGGCACCGTGATCTGTTGTTCAATACCATGATCTTCGTAGAAGGTCTTGATGGAGTTGGTCGCAAACTCATGCGCTCCATCGTGCCGAACAAACTTGATCTTCGTGCCGAACTGAGTTTGAATCTTGATAATGTGGTTCTTGATACAGTCTTCACTCTCAGACTTGGACCGCAGACAGAAGCCCTTCATGCAACCGCTGGCTTCGTCAACCACAAGCAGTAAGTATCTGCTGCCGCCGATCGAAACTTGTTCCATTGGCCCGCAGATGTCGAAGTGCAGCAACTCGAACACACCATATTGGCGTTTGTCACGGTTGGTTGGGAATGGTTTTTGAACCATCTTTCCTTGCTGGCAACCGCGACACACACTTGGACCAGTCGAGTTGAGAGGTGCCTTGGCGTCCTTGATCATGCCAGTGGCCACCATCTTGCGCAGAACTTCGAGGGGTGCATGACCCATGCGCGCATGCAAGTCGATGGTCCCATTGCGTGTTGCTGCATTTGCCGATCGTTGAGGAGTCCGCAGCCAGTAAAGTCCATCGACGAGATCCGCTGTTGCCACGACTTGTGTGGAATTCTTGCGCTTCACTTGCATCTTGGATCCATCGAACACGACTTGGAACCTGCCACCCTTGTTGATCTGTGGCACCGAAAGCAGATTCTTGCTCATACTTGGTACGAACAGTGCGTCCTTGATCTCGATGTCGAGTTCGTCACCATTGGGCAGAACCACCCGTTCCATGATGGTTCCCACACCCTTGATCGCAGCCTTGCTGCCATCAGCCACTGATAGTTCGCCTTCCTCTCGCTCATTCAGGCTTGTAAACTTGGCCTTGTCGTTGCAGATGTGATGCGTCGCACCGCTGTCGACTGCCCACATCCCTGGCATATTCTTGCCCGTCGAAAGTCCAGCCTCCAGCGAAACCGCGAACGCAACTCGATCGTAGTTGTCATCGTAGTTGCTGTTGGTTCGCCACTGAACGTTGTTGGCTCCGCGTCCACGAGCATTGTTGCCGCCGCGTCGAGCTCCACCTTGATTTTCGTCCTTCTGCTTGGTCCAGCACCGCTCCGCCGTGTGCCCCAATTTTCCGCAGTATGTACACTGGCGAGGTTCACGCTCGGCACTGAACGCCTTCGCCGCGTCTTCAGTCTTCACCGATGTCGTCTTGTCACCTTGTCTCTTGATGTGCTCATTCGTGAGCACTCTCACGACGTCTCACGATCGCAGTTCCGCGCTGCTCATCTCCAAGTTGAGAACGACGTTCTCGTAGCTCTTGGGGAGGCTGCGCAACAAGCAGATCGCCACGTCCTCGTCCTCCATCTTGGCGCCGATGCTGCTGAGCTTGGCGCTGATTTTGAGAACTTCATTGCAATGATGCATTACATTGCCGCCTTCCGCCATCTCCATGCTGAACAGCTGCCGCTTCAAGAAAATCCGTCCAGCCTTCTGCGACCCGTCGTACAGCGTCTTCAAACGCGCCCACGCGACCCACGCCTCTTCACAGTCATCAACCACGTGATGATAATCTGCGCTCATGTGCAGCAGCATCAAGCCGAAAGCAATGTTGTTCGTCTTGACGTAGTCGTCACTGGCGCGAGGATCGGCGAAGGTGGGGGTGGTCTCCCGGTTCACCACGTGCCACGCCGACTTGGTCAGGAACACGCCACGCATGTAGCGGCTCCACGTCGCGTAGTTGTCGCCGTCAAACTTGTCGATGGAGATCTTGGTGGTGGCATCATGAGCAGAGGACATCGTGCTTGGGCTCATAACCTATTGAGGGGTGAAAAGCTTGACGACCGAAACTGGGAGTGATACTGGGAGTCCACTCGGAAGACCGGAGAAGACACTTGGGGGTAGATGGAAGATTGGAAAGTGATTGATTATCGGGGCTTACTACTTACTACATGATTTATATGTGGTGTACATATAAATCATGTGAAGCTATCTCATCATCCTACGCGTCTAATCAACTATGGTAATTACCGTAAGAACTACGTCGTAAATACCAAGCTGAACAGGCGGTTCGGATTGGACCGGTCACGGTTACCAATACTGGTAGAAACCGATGACCGTCAACAGTCTTGATCATCAAACTCAACGGCACTTGACTCATCGTTGTAGTTGCGCGGACCTTCATCAAACTTGTCTTCCATGAATGTGGCATCGCGACTGATCTTGATCGCTCCTGTTGACACTTCCTCAAATCGATATGACTTCTGGTGTTCGGCGTATCCCAGGAAACGACAGAGTGATGACTTGGAGTCGAACTTCGCGCGTTTGTCTTGAGGCACTTGAACATACGCGTGGCATCCAAACACTTTAAGGTTGGCCAGAATCGGTTTCTTCATCGTCCACACTTGATATGGAAACTTGTCTTGGTGAATGGCACGTGTTGGACAGCGGTTTCGAAGAAACATCGCCGTCATCACTGCTTCACCCCAGTAGCTCTTTCCCAGTCCAGCGTGTTCCATCATGCAACGCGCACACTCGACCAGCGTGCGATTCATTCTCTCAGCTACTCCGTTTAGCTGAGGAGTATATGGGGGGGTGAACCTTTGTTGTATTCCCCGTTCCGCGCAGAATCGTGCCAGCTTGTCGGACTTGTATTCACCCCCATTGTCGCTTTGAAGGTACTTCACGCGCTTTCCGGTTTGCGTTTGGGCCATCGCAGCGTATTCCATGAACTTCGCCGCAACTTCAGATTTGCTCTTGAGCAGATAGACGACACAGTATCTTGACTTGTCATCGATGAATGTCGCGAAGTACCGTTTTCCACTGAAAGTTGCCATCGACATCGGTCCGCATACGTCGCTGTGAATCACTTCGAGGAGTTTGGAGGTGCGAGCTGTAGTGTTTGATTGGAAGCGCACTCGAGTCTGTTTTCCCAGAGCACAACCTTCACAAACGTCCCACTTCTTCACCGAAGATATGTCGATGCCAATTCCAATGTTCTTCGTCACGATGCAATTGAGTCCATCGTGACCTATGTGGCCAAGCCGAAGGTGCCAGAGGTACGACTTGGTGCCCCCTTGACATCCCGACGACTTGGCTGCATTTGCTTGTTCCGGCGCCACTGGAGTCATTTGCAGCTTGAACAGTCCTTTACCTTCACGGGCACCAATTTTCCACTTGGTCCCTTTCGCTTCTCCATAGCACCCATCCTTCGTGAACGTCACTGGGCCGACATCCTTGGTGAAGCGGCCGACCGAGAACAGGTTTCTGGATAACTTTGGGATGTGCCACACGTTTGTGAGCACACCTTTCTTCATCCCTTGGGGTGTCTTCATCGACATGACAATGTCCCCACTGCCGATTGCTTGGACGATTCCATCATCCGCGAGATGGACATCCACAGCGTCAAACCCCTTGTAGTTCCGCATGAACTTCTTGGAGCACGTCATGTGCTGCGTCGCCCCGGAGTCGACCAGCCAGATGTCGCTCGATTTCGCAGATGTCGTTTCACCGATCGAAAAGAGGTAGTCGCCCGAGTCTTCTTCTTGAGCGACGTTTGCACGTTGTGATCGATAGCGGTCGCCGCTGTCTTGAGCACGCTGTGGCCGGTGTCTCTCCGTGTTTTCTTGGATGCGCGAGGGGCACTCCGCCATCCAGTGACCAATCTTTCCGCAATTGTGGCACGGCCAGGACTTCTTCACTGGTCGCCCTTTGCGCTGATTGTCCCTTGTGATGAACGCTTGACCTTGCGAAGCTTCATCACCTTTACTTCCTTGCTCCTTCCGCTTCATTTCTTCATGAAGCAGTCGAGACGTCACGAGCTCCCAGCTAAGAGTGTCTGAGCGCGACTCCAAAGCTGTGATCAAGAATTGATACGAGTCACTCAGGCTGCCGAGAAGTGTGATCACCAGATCGTCCTCGCAGACTGCAGCCCCCACCGCTTCTAGCTGTTCCGCCAGCGTCTTGAGCTTGTTGATGTGTTTGAGCACATCGTCGCCTTCTTCCATCATTGTCGTGAAGAGACGACGGCGCAAGAACAGCTTGTTGGCAAGACTCTTCTTCTCGAAGTGGTCTTCCAACCTTGACCATGCGTCGCATGCACCACTTGCCGACCGGACCAACGGTAGCTGGGAATCTTCCATGGCTAGACAGATCACTGCCATCGCCTTTCTTGACTTCCTCTTGTACGTCGCTTGGTCCAACTGAGTCTCGCACTGTTCCGCCTTGATCTCACCGCTGACGACCTCCCATAGGTCCCGTTCCTCCAGCACCATCTGCATCTTGAACTTCCAGGCGTGGAAGTTAGTTCCATCGAACTTGGAGATGCGGAGGGAGGAGGCGTTCATGGCAGCTAAGCTTGAATTGTTGGCGGTTTCAGAGTCTGACGAACTTGGGCTCATAACCTGATGAACTTTAGACTTCTTGGTCCGAGTGCAAAACGCAAAGTGAATATATATTTATAATAGGTACTTAGTTCGCAACTTTGAATACTACCTCTAAGCCTATTATTCGCAGTGACGTCATCCAGTGACGTCACCCACTGACGTCACCCACTGACGTCATGCAATGACGTCATCCAGTGACGTCATTTCCTGACTTCGCCCTTACTGGTACATACCGGTACCCACCGGTATAGCGAGGCTTGGTCTTCCACTTGCTTCAACACTTGACGCAGCTTGACGAGGTGTATTCTTCACCGCCGCTGTCTTTTCAACAGTCCTCAACATCTCCGCCAAGATTAGCGGCATCGGTGCGAAGATGGAAGACGAAGACGTTGCAATTTGTCTGCTACTCAGTCTTCCGAAGAGCTACGAAAATGTGGTGCTCAACATGGAAATGAGCAGCACCGAGCTTCGCACTCAAGATGTGGTGAGAGTCCTGACGAATGAGCATGCCAAGCGTCAAGGAGAAAAAGGGACAACGACAGCGACTACGGTGAAGGCTGAAGATGCAAGCAAGGCATTCAGCGCCGAGCGTGAGCCCTACCAATGCACGTATTGTGGTAAGGTGGGACACACGGTGGATCGTTGCTGGACAAAACAGAAGAACGAAGGTCGGGGAGCCCGACGCGGCGGCAATGGTCGTGGACGCGGGGCCAACAATGTCCAGTGGGGACATCATGATGAATGCAATGGCTACGATCGAGTGGCGTTTGCAGTCTCGTTCGAATGTGGAGTTTCGACGAGCAAGGACGTGTCTGGAATGTGGCCCGTCGACAGTGGTGCAACGCACCACATTTGCCACGACAAAACCAAGTTCGCAAGTTTGGCAGAGCGCAATGAGGGCGAACTCTTGGTGGCTGATGGCAACAAGGTGGCCATCAAGGGTGTGGGAACCATCATGGAAAAGGTGGTTCTGCCCAACGGTGAAGAGCGTGAGATCGAAATCAAGAACGCGCTATATGTTCCAAGTATGAGCAAGAACCTGCTCTCGGTGCCACAGATTAACAGCCATGGCAAGTTTCAAGTCGTGTTTGACGGGTCCAAGATGTATGTGACTCTCAAGAACTCACAGCAAGTGGTGGCGACAGCGGATTTCGTGGATGGGCTCTACTGGCTTCGGACGACTCAACGATCAGCGAATGTGACAACAAGTGGAACCAGTTGTGCCGATCTACATGCGAGAATGGGTCATGCATCAGTCAATGTACTTCGCAAGATGATCGCGACCAACATGATCAAGGATGTGCGAGTCCCTCTCAAGTCGGGTGGAGCAACTACATGTCAAGGATGTCAACAAGGGAAAATGGTCCAAAAACCATTTCCAAGCAACCGAGACAAGCGCAGCTACGATACGTTTGAGCTACTTCATCTGGACATCTGCGGGCCCATGGAAAAGGATTCGCTCGGTGGCAGCAAATATTTGCTGCTGATCATCGACGAAGCCAGTGGATGCATGAAGGGCTTTTGTCTACGAGTGAAGTCCGAGAGTGAAGACTACATCCGGAAATATATCACCATGGTACAGACGCAATTCTGTAAGAAGGTCAAGTTCGTGCGACACGACGGAGCTCGCGAGTTTGCAACCAACTCGCTTCAGCTGTTCTACGAAGACGAAGGCATTGAACAGCAGACGACGGTGCCGTATGCACACCAGAACAACAGAACAGCAATCGCGCCATCGGGACTATCGTCACGATCGGCCGCAGCATGCTTCACCATGCCAAGTTGGACAAGTGCTTCTGGGCTGAATTAGCAATGACGGTCATCTACGTCAAGAATCGCCTACCGTCACCTAAAGTCGTGCATAAGACCCCGTTTGAGATCGTCTACAACTTGAAACCAAGCGTCAAGCACATGCGAACATTCGGGTGTCAGACATACATACTGACGCCTAAAGAGAATCGACTCAAGTGGGATCCAAAGGCTCGCGCTGGCATATTCGTGGGCTACGAAGAAGTTTCGAAGGCATATCGTGTTTATGACATCGAGGCGGGGCAGGTGGTTATCAGCCGCGATGTCAACTTCGAAGAGTCCACCTTTGGACTTCAACTGCCGATCACTGATGAAGATGTCGATGACCTGGACTTCGAATTGCTGGATCTTGATGACGAAGAGCTGCGTCAAATGGAGTACAAGCAAACAGGCAAGCGCAAGAACCGACTCAATGATGAAGATACAGCACCTCCACGACCGCGTGCAGTGCGTCAACGACCAGGACTAGAAGAGTCAAGCGCGCCGGAAAACAACTCGTCACGACAAGAAGAAGACGAAGAAACGAAGGATTCTGGTGATTCAACACCGCCTGTGTTTTGGCGTGCGAGTGCAAATGCCGTTGAAGCAGCAGTGAACTTATCAGAGCCCTCAACATTTGAAGCAGCAGTAAGCGACCCTGACCAAGTGCACTGGAGAAAAGCAATTCATGCAGAGCTCGAGTCAATGCGACTTCGCGGTGTGTTTCGTGCAGCCAAGCTGCCCAACGGACAACGCGCCATTGGCACAAAATGGGTGTTCAAGATCAAGCGCAAGGCGGATGGGTCAATCGAGAAGTACAAGGCACGACTTGTGGCCAAGGGTTTCCGCCAAAAGTATGGCATCGACTACACGGAGACGTTTTCGCCGGTAGTCAAGTACGTGACGCTGCGCATGGTGGTTGCAATCACGAAGTACTTTGACTGGACACTGGACCAACTGGACGTGGTGACAGCTTTCCTATACGGAGAAATGAAGAGCAGGTATTCTGCGCGATCCCAGAAGGGATCGAGGTTGATGAAGACTTTGACTGCTTTGAACTGGTCAAGGCGATCTACGGACTAAAACAAGCATCGCGTGTATGGAACGAGACTTTCCATGAGTTCGTCTGCTCCACTGGATTTCAAGTATCCGATTTTGACCCGTGTCTTTATCTCAAGATTACAAGTGGCGAGTGCGTGCTTTTGCTGGTATACGTCAATGATGTGCTGGCGACTGGCAGCTCGACCGAACTGATTATGCGCACCAAGAGTGACTTAAAGGCGCGTTTCGAAATGACTGACAGCGGCAAGTGCGCATTCGTGTTGGGCATCCAGCTGGTGGACAACGACAACGGTAGCGTGAAGATGTGCCGGCGACGCTACGTGGAAGATGTCCTCAAACGTTTTGGCATGAGCGACTGCAAAGCCGTCACCAGCCCAACAGACACCAGTTCTCGACTCATACCAAGCACCGCAGCAATGAAGTTCTCCACATCAGCGCCAAGCTCAGCAGTATCGGTGCCAAGATGGAGGATGAGGACGTGGCGATCTGCTTGTTGTGCAGCCTCCCCAAGAGCTACGAGAATGTCGTGCTGAACTTGGAGATGAGCAGCGTGGAACTGCGGACGCAAGACGCCGTGAAAGAGCTGACGAGTGAGTACATCAAGAGACAAGGAAACAAGGAAACAAGACGACGTCGGTGAAAACTGAAGAAGCGACCAGGGCCTTCAGTACCGAGCGTGAGGTTCGTCAGTGTACGTTCTGTGGGAAATTGGGGCACATGGTGGTAAAGTGCTGGACCAAGCAGAAGGAAGACAATCGGGGAGCTCGACGCGGCGGCAATGCTGGTGGACGCGGAGCGAATCAAGTTCAGTGGAAAAGCTACAACGGCAACAACAACTATGACCATGATTGAGTGGCGTTTTCTGTTTTGCCGGAATGCGGACTTTCAACGACCAGGAGCATGTCTGGAATGTGGGCGATTGACAGCGGTACAAAACATCACATCTGCTATGACAAGTCCAAGTTCGAAGTTATGGACGAGCGCAATGAAGGTGAAGTGTTGGTTGCAGAGGCGAGCAAGGCTGCGATCAACGGTGTCGGGACAATCATCGAAAAGGTGATCCTGTCAATGGTGAAGAGCGCGAAGTCTAGATCAAGAACGCGCTTTATGTTCCAAGCATGAACAAGAACTTGCTGTCGATACCACAAATCAACAAAAGCGGCAAGTTTCAAGTGGTGTTTGATGTTGAAGAAATGAAGATTTCGCACAAAGGCTCCAAGCAAGTAATGGCGATGGCCGATCTTGTGGATTGTTGACGGTCATCGGTTTTCTACCAGTGTTGGTAACCGTGACCGATCCAATCCGAACCGCCTGTTCAGCTTAGTATTTACGACGTAGTTCTTACGGTAATTACCATAGTTGATTAGACGCGTAGGATGATGAGAGAGCTTCACATGATTTATATGTACACCACATATAAATCATGTAGTAAGTAGTAAGCCCCGATAATCAATCACTTTCGAATCTTCCAACTATTAGGCAAGTGTTTTCTGCTCCTACTCTCTTCGGTCTCTCCGCTCCGCTCGCTCCGCTTTCCTCGCTCCGATCTACAATACAACAGGTTATGAGCCCAAGCGCCATGTCGTCCACCAGCAACGCCTCCATTGACAAGTTCAACGGAGACAATTACGCAACGTGGAGCCGGTACATGCGCGGTGTGTTTTTGACGAAGTCCGTCTGGCACGTTGTCAACCGTGAAGTGACTCCGACTTTCACCGACCCGCGAGCGTCCGATGACTACGTCAAGGCAAGCAACGTCGCGTTTGGTATGATGCTGCTGCACATGAACGCGGACTACCATCATGTGCTGGACAACTGCGAGGAAGCCTGGGTTGCGTGGACAAGTCTGAAGACGCTGTACGGTGGGCCGCAGAAGGCAGGACGCATCTACCTCAAGCGACAACTTTTCAGTATCAAGATGGCTGAAGGCGCGAACGTCATGCATCACTGCAACGAGGTCCTCAACATCTCCGCCAAGCTTAGCGGCATCGGTGCGAAGATGGAAGACGAAGACGTTGCAATTTGTCTGCTACTCAGTCTTCCGAAGAGCTACGAAAATGTGGTGCTCAACATGGAAATGAGCAGCACCGAGCTTCGCACTCAAGATGTGGTGAGAGTCTATTGAGGGTTACTGGTACAATCCGAACCTAGCGCGTAGTTCTTACGAGATAGTTTTTTGTTGATTGGTGAAGAGCTTGACGACCGAAACTGGGAGGGATGCTGAGAGTCCACTCGGAAGACCGGAGAAGACACTTGGGGGTAGATGGAAGATTGGAAAGTGATTGATTATCGGGGCTTACTACTTACTACATGATTTATATGTGGTGCACATATAAATCATGTGAAGCGTCTCATCATCCTACGCGTCTAATCAACTATGGTAATTACCGTAAGAACTACGTCGTAAATACCAAGCTGAACAGGCGGTTCGGATTGGACCGGTCACGGTTACCAATACTGGTAGAAACCGATGACCGTCAACACGCCCCCTCAATCCGAACTCGCACGAATGCCGAGAGCCGTCGTCAAGTCCTTGTGACGAGGTCCCGAAAGTCCCTTGGTCATGATGTCCGCCATCATCACGGAAGTCTCGCAATACTCGAGCTGCACTTCACCGCGCTTGACCTCATCACGGATGTGATGGTACTTGATGTCGATGTGCTTGGCGCGGCCATGATTCACCGGATTCTTCGTCATCTTGATGCACGACTGGTTGTCTTCACGGATGACGAGGTCCGGTCCTGGTTCGTTTGCGGCCGCCAAAATCTCGCATAGCAGGCGATGCACCCACTTGCCTTCCTGGATGGCCAGACTCAGTGCGATGTATTCCGCTTCACTCGTCGATAGCGACACACTTGACTGCTTCTTGCTTCCCCAACTCACAGGAGCACCCATCAGCATGAAAGTGTAACCCGAAGTCGACTTGCGATCAGCGTGGTCGCCGGCCCAGTCCGCGTCCGAGTAACCACGAAAGTCGATCTTGTTGCTTGGCTGGAAGCGGAGTCCGTGTGACTTGGTCCCTTGCAAGTAACGAAAGATGCGCTTCACCGCCGTCCAATGTTCTTGCTGCGGATTCTCCATGAAGCGCGAGACGTACCCCACAGCATACGCAATATCTGGGCGCGTTGCAGTCATCAAATGCATCAAAGCACCAACCGCTTCGCGAAACGGAACGTCGATCTTGGCCGCTTCGGTGCTTGCGACAAGCCGAGTGCTCAAGTCCACCGGACTTGCTGTGGCCTTGCACTCATCCATGCCGAAGCGCTTGAGGATGTCGTTGACATACCGTCGCTGGCACATTGTCACGCTGCCATCCGATTCGTCCACCAGTTCGATGCCCAGTACAAAAGTACACTTGCCACTGTCGGTCATCTCGAAACGCGTCTTGAGGTCGGCCTTCGTCTGCGCAATCAACTCGAGCGAGCTGCCGGTGACCAACACGTCATCCACGTAGACCAGCACGAGCACACAGTGACCGTCGACAACCTTGATGTAGAGACATGGGTCGAACGCCGATGCTTCGAAACCGATGGAGCATACGAACTCGTCGAAAGTCTCGTTCCACACACGTGAAGCTTGCTTGAGACCGTAGATCGCCTTCACCAAGTCGAGACAGTCGAAGTCGCCATCCATCTCGACGCCTTCTGGTATCACGCAGTACACCTTCTCCTTCATCACTCCGTAGAGAAAGGCTGTCACCACATCGAGTTGGTCCAGTGGCCAGTCGAAATACTTGGTGATCGCGATCACCATACGCAGTGTCACGTACTTGACCACGGGCGAGAACGTCTCTGTGTAGTCGATGCCGTACTTCTGCTTGAAGCCCTTGGCAACGAGACGCGCCTTGTATTTCTCGACCGATCCATCCGCTTTGCGCTTGATCTTGAACACCCACTTGGTGCCGATCGCGCCTTGGCCTCTTGGCAGTTTTGCCGCACGGAAAACTCCACGAAGATGCATCGACTTGAGTTCCGCCTTCACAGCATTTCGCCAGTGAGTTTGATCAGGACCATTGATCGCGTCTTGAAAAGTCACAGGTTCTGCTAGGTCCGTTGCTTCCACTGCGTTTGCACTTGCACGCCAAAATGTTGGAGGCGTCGAGTCGTCATCTTGATCGTACACGCTTGCATCTTCTTCGTCATCAGACATCGTTTCTGGAGCACTTGATCGTCGTTTCTGGTGACGGTTGGAGACGTGTTCCGGCGCACTTGCTTGTTCCAACCCAGTTCGAGGGCGAGCTGACCGTGACATGCCGGGTCTTGCTTCACTCTTGCGCTTGCCAGTCTGCTTGTAGACGGTTTGACGCACGTCGTCCTCGTTGATCGCCAGGAGGTCGAGGTCCAACTCCGCATCTTCATCATCGTCACTTGGTCGGTCCATCGAAAAGTCAAAAGTCGATTCGTCGAAGGTGATGTCACGACTGATCACCACTTGGTCCGTCTCAATGTCGTACACTCGATAAGCTTTTAACGCTTCTTTGTAGCCCATGAACATCCCTTCACAAGCCTTCGGGTCCCACTTCAATCGCTTCTCCCTTGGTGTCAGGATAAACGCCCGACATCCAAACACGCGCATGTGCTTGACACTTGGTTTCGACTTGTACACGATCTCGAACGGAGTCTTGTGGTCGATCTTGGGTGAATGCAGGCGGTTCTTGATGTAGATCGCCGTCATTGCCGCTTCAGCCCAGAAACACTTCTCCAGTTTTGCATGATGCAATAAGCTGCGTCCGATCGTGACGATGGTCCTTATCGCGCGTTCTGCGGTGCCGTTGGTCTGGTGTGCATACGGCACCGTGATCTGCTGTTCGATACCATGATCTTCGTAGAAGGTCTTGATGGAGTTGGTCGCAAACTCATGCGCTCCATCGTGCCGAACAAACTTGATCTTCGTGCCGAACTGAGTTTGAATCTTGATGATGTGGTTCTTGATACAGTCTTCACTCTCAGACTTGGACCGCAGACAGAAGCCCTTCATGCAACCGCTAGCTTCGTCAACCACAAGCAGTAAGTATCTGCTGCCGCCGATCGAGACTTGTTCCATTGGCCCGCAGATGTCGAAGTGCAGCAACTCGAACACACCATGTTGGCGCTTGTCACGGTTGGTTGGGAATGGTTTTTGGACCATCTTTCCTTGCTGGCAACCGCGACACACACTTGGACCAGTCGAGTTGAGAGGTGCCTTGGCGTCCTTGATCATGCCAGTGGCCACCATCTTGCGCAGAACTTCGAGGGGTGCATGACCCATGCGCGCATGCAAGTCGATGGTCCCATTGCGTGTTGCTGCATTTGCCGATCGTTGAGGAGTCCGTAGCCAGTAAAGTCCATCGACGAGATCCGCTGTTGCCACGACTTGTGTGGAATTCTTGCGCTTCACTTGCATCTTGGATCCGTCGAACACGACTTGGAACCTGCCACCCTTGTTGATCTGTGGCACCGAAAGCAGATTCTTGCTCATACTTGGTACGAACAGTGCGTCCTTGATCTCGATGTCGAGTTCGTCACCATTGGGCAGAACCACCCGTTCCATGATGGTTCCCACACCCTTGATCGCAGCCTTGCTGCCATCAGCCGCTGATAGTTCGCCTTCCTCTCGCTCATTCAGGCTTGCAAACTTGGCCTTGTCGTTGCAGATGTGATGCGTCGCACCGCTGTCGACTGCCCACATCCCTGGCATATTCTTGCCCGTCGAAAGTCCAGCCTCTAGCGAAACCGCGAACGCAACTCGATCGTAGTTGTCGTCGTAGTTGCTGTTGGTTCGCCACTGAACGTTGTTGGCTCCGCGTCCACGAGCATTGTTGCCGCCGCGTCGAGCTCCACCTTGATTCTCGTCCTTCTGCTTGGTCCAGCACCGCTCCGCCGTGTGCCCCAATTTTCCGCAGTATGTACACTGGCGAGGTTCACGCTCGGCACTGAACGCCTTCGCCGCGTCTTCAGTCTTCACCGATGTCGTCTTGTCACCTTGCCTCTTGATGTGTTCATTCGTGAGCACTCTCACGACGTCTCGCGATCGCAGTTCCGCGCTGCTCATCTCCAAGTTGAGAACGACGTTCTCGTAGCTCTTGGGGAGGCTGCGCAACAAGCAGATCGCCACGTCCTCGTCCTCCATCTTGGCGCCGATGCTGCTGAGCTTCGCGCTGATGTTGAGGACTTCGTTGCAATGATGCATCACATTGCCGCCTTCCGCCATCTCCATGCTGAACAGCTGGCGCTTCAAGTAGATGCGTCCAGCCTTCTGCGACCCGCCGTACAGCGTCTTCAAACGCGCCCACGCGACCCACGCCTCTTCACAGTCATCAACCACGTGATGATAATCTGCGCTCATGTGCAGCAGCATCAAGCCGAACGCAATGTTGTTCGTCTTGACGTAGTCGTCACTGGCGCGAGGATCGGCGAAGGTGGGGGTGGTCTCCCGGTTCACCACGTGCCACGCCGACTTGGTCAGGAACACGCCACGCATGTAGCGGCTCCACGTCGCGTAGTTGTCGCCGTCGAACTTGTCGATGGAGATCTTGGTGGTGGCATCATGGGCAGAGGACATCGTGCTTGGGCTCATAACCTGTTGATTGGTGAAGAGCTTGACGACCGAAACTGGGAGGGATGCTGAGAGTCCACTCGGAAGACCGGAGAAGACACTTGGGGGGTAGATGGAAGATTGGAAAGTGATTGATTATCGGGGCTTACTACTTACTACATGATTTATATGTGGTGCACATATAAATCATGTGAAGCGTCTCATCATCCTACGCGTCTAATCAACTATGGTAATTACCGTAAGAACTACGTCGTAAATACTAAGCTGAACAGGCGGTTCGGATTGGACCGGTCACGGTTACCAATACTGGTAGAAACCGATGACCGTCAACATTTTTACATCGGTAATTACCTCAGAGATGATTAGACGCGTAGGATGATTGGACGCGTGTAAATCAGGTTGATTAGATGCACCATGTGATTGGATGCAGTCTAGGGTAGGCAGAAGCTAAGACCTATAAATCAATCACTTTCAAATCCTCCCTCAAGTGAGCAAGTGTTCTCTGCTTCGTTCTCTCCGGTCTCTCCGCTTCGTTTTCTCTTCGCCTCGCGCTCAAATTGCAACAGGTTATGAGCCCAAGCGCCATGTCATCCAACAACACCTCGGCCAGTGTCTCCATCGATAGATTCGATGGGGACAACTACTCAACCTGGTGTCGCTACATGCGCGGCGTGTTTCTGACGAAGTCAGTCTGGTACGTCGTGAACCGCGAAACGTCTCCAACCTTCACCGACACGCGAGCTTCCGACGAGTACGTCAAGGCGAGCAACATCGCGTTCGGGTTGATGTTGCTCCACATGGACGCCGACTACCACCATGTGGTCGACAACTGTGAAGAAGCATGGACAGCGTGGTCGCGGTTGAAGATGCTCTATGGTGGGTCGCAGAAGGCGGGACGCATCTACCTCAAGCGCCAGCTGTTCAGCATCAAGATGGCGGAAGGTGCCAACGTCTTGCACCATTGCAACGAAGTCTTGAACATCGGCGCCAAGCTCAGCAGCATCGGTGCCAAGATGGAAGACGAAGACATTGCGATCTGCTTGCTGCTCAGTCTCCCGAAGAGTTTCGAGAACGTGGTTCTGAACTTGGAGATGAGCAATGCAGAGCTGCGCACGCAAGATGTGGTCAAGGTGCTGACTAACGAGCACATCAAGCGACAAGGCGAGAAGATGACAACGGCAACGACAACGGTGAAGACTGAAGATGCGACAAAGGCATTCAGTACCGAGCGCAAGCCCTACCAATGCACATACTGCGGCAAGGTGGGGCACACGGCAGAGCGTTGCTGGACGAAGCAAAAGGATGAAAGTCGAGGAGCCCAACGCGGCGGCAATGGTCGTGGACGCGGGGCAAACAATGTCCAGTGGCGACATTATGATGAAGGCAACAGCTACGATCGAGTGGCGTTTGCAGTTTCGTTCGAATGCGGAGTTTCGACGAACAAGAATGGACCAGGAATGTGGGCCGTTGACAGCGGGGCAACACATCACATCTGCCACGACAAGTTCAAGTTTGCAAGCTTGGTCGAAGACAATGATGGCGAGATCCTGGTGGCTGATGGCAACAAGGCGGCCATCAAAGGTGTGGGGACCATCGTGGAAAAGGTGATTCTGCCAAACGGGGAAGAGAGCGAGATCGAGATCAAGAACGCGCTCTATGTGCCCAGCATGAGCAAAAATCTGCTCTCGGTGCCGCAGATTAACAAGCACGGCAACTTCCAAGTGGTGTTTGACGGGGATACGATGTACGTCGCTCGCAAGGATTCCAATCAAGTGGTGGCAGCTGCGGATCTTGTAGACGGACTCTACTGGCTTCGCACGACGCAGCGATCGGCCAATGCGACATCACTCAGCAACGCTGTTGATCTACATGCGCGAATGGGCCATGCTCCAGTCGACGTGCTTCGCAGGATGGTGACAAGCCACATGATCAAGGACGCTCACATCCCTTCCAAGCCGAATGGATCAAGTGTGTGTCGAGGATGCCAAGAAGGGAAGATGGTCCAAAAACCATTCCCGAGCAACCGTGACAAGCGCACCTACAACACCTTCGAGATGCTCCACTTCGACATCTGCGGACCCATGGAAGAAAAATCTCTGGGTGGCAGCAAGTATCTGCTGCTGATCGTGGATGAAGCCAGCGGATGCATGAAGGGTTTTTGTCTGCATTCCAAGTCAGAGAGCGAAGAGTGCATCAAGAAGTACATCACGATGATACAGACGCAGTTCAACAAGAAGGTCAAATTTGTGCGACACGATGGAGCCCGCGAGTTTGCGACGAACTCGCTTCAAGATTTCTACGAAGTCGAAGGCATCGAGCAACAAACCACGGTGCCATACGCACATCAAGCCAATGGAACTGCTGAACGCGCGATTCGAACTATCGTCACCATCGGTCGTAGCATGCTCCATCATGCCAAGTTGGACAAGTGCTTCTGGGCTGAAGCGGCAATGACGGCCGTCTATGTGAAGAACCGTTTGCCGTCACCCAAGATTCCACACAAGACACCGTTCGAGATTGTCTACAATTCTAAGCCAAGTGTCAAGCACATGCGCGTTTTTGGGTGCCAAGCATACATCTTGACCCCGAAGGAGAAACGACTCAAGTGGGATCCCAAGGCCCGGGCTGGATTGTTTTTGGGCTACGAAGAAGTGTCCAAGGCGTATCGAGTTTACGACATCGAAGCGGGGCAGGTGATGATAAGTCGCGATGTCAACTTCGATGAGTCGGCCTTTGGAATGTCGATGCTGATTTCCGATGACGATGTTGATGGCCTGGACTTCGAATCGATCGATCTTGATGATGAAGAACCGCGTCCAAGACACTTCAAACAAACAGGAAAGCGCAAGGCCCAACCCAGTCACGACAATGACGACGCAAGCATGCCCCGAGCAGTGCGCCAACGACCCGGATTGGAAGAGTCAAGTGCGCCGGATGACCTCTCTTCACGTCGAGCCAACGAAGATGAAGAAAGGAAGTCGGAGGAACAACATGACACACCGACTTCCTCCGCGTTTTGGCATGCGAGTGCAAACGCCGTCGAAGCAGCGGTCGATTTTTCGGAGCCGTCGACATTTGAAGAAGCAGTGTCTGGCCCGGACCAAGTACACTGGCGCAAGGCAATTGATGCGGAGCTCGATTCGATGAAGCTTCGCGGTGTCTTTCGTGCGGCCAAGTTACCCAACGGACAAAGCGCCATTGGCACAAAGTGGGTCTTCAAGATCAAGCGCAAGGCGGATGGGTCGATCGCGAAATACAAGGCACGACTTGTGGCCAAGGGTTTTCGCCAAAAGTATGGCATCGACTACACGGAGACGTTCTCACCCGTGGTCAAGTATGTGACGCTGCGAATGATCATCGCCATTACCAAGCACTTTGGATGGCCCCTCGACCAGCTCGATGTGGTGACTGCGTTCCTGTATGGAGTGATGAAGGAGAAGGTGTTCTGCGCTGTTCCGGAAGGCGTCAAGATGGAAGGTGATTTCGACTGTCTCGAGCTGATCAAGGCGATCTACGGTCTCAAGCAAGCCTCGCGTGTTTGGAACGAGACCTTCGACGAGTTCATACGCTCGATTGGTTTTCAAGCGTCAGGATTCGATCCATGTCTCTACATCATGACTTCGGAAGGCCATTGTGTTTTTGTGCTGGTCTACGTGGACGATGTCTTGGTGACTGAAAGCTCGCTCGAGATGATTGCGCGCACCAAGAACGACCTCAAGACACGCTTCGAGATGACGGACAGCGGCAAGTGTGCCTTTGTTCTTGGGATCGAGTTATTGGACGGTGAAGATGGCAGCGTGACTATGTGTCAGCGCCGTTATGTCGACGATGTCCTCAAGCGCTTTGGAATGGATGAGTGCAAGGCTGTGGCAAGTCCGGTGGACGTCAGCTCTCGACTGGTTCCAAGCAACTCTGCAAGCAAGGTGGATGTCCCATTCCGTGAAGCAGTGGGTGCTTTGATTCATCTGACGACTGCAACGCGACCGGACATCGCCTATGCTGTAAGCTTTGTGTCACGGTTCATGGAGAAACCCCAAGAAGAACACTGGGTTGCAGTCAAGCGCATCTTCCGCTACCTACAAGGCACCAAGATGCATGGAATCTGCTACAAGCCAAGTGCGAAGATCGCCTTTCGTGGCTATTCAGATGCAGACTGGGCCGGTGACCTTGCTGATCGCAAATCGACGTCCGGCTACGTCTTCATGCTATTGGGTGCTCCGGTGAGTTGGGGCAGCAAGAAACAGCCAAGTGTGTCACTGTCTACAAGCGAAGCGGAGTACATCGCGCTCAGCCTGGCGATCCAAGAAGGCAAGTGGATCAATCGCTTGCTGTGCGAGATCATGGCGGCTGCAAACGAAGAAGGACCCGAGCTCGTCATCCGTGAAGACAACCAGTCGTGCATCAAGATGACGAAGAATCCGGTCAACCACGGCCGCGCTAAACACATCGACATCAAGTACCATCACATCCGTGATGAAGTCAAGCGCGGCGAAGTGAAGCTTGAATACTGCGAGACGACGTTGATGTTGGCGGACATCATGACGAAGGGACTTCACGGACCGCGTCACAAGGACTTGACGGCGGCGCTTGGCATCCGTGCGTGTTCGGATTGAGGGGGCGTATTGAGGGTTACCGGTACAATCCGAACCTAGCGCGTAGTTCTTACGAGATAGTTTTTACATCGGTAATTACCTCAGAGATGATTAGACGCGTAGGATGATTGGACGCGTGTAAATCAGGTTGATTAGATGCACCATGTGATTGGATGCAGTCTAGGGTAGGCAGAAGTTAAGACCTATAAATCAATCACTTTCGAATCCTCCCTCAAGTGAGCAAGTGTTCTCTGCTTCGTTCTCTCCGGTCTCTCCGCTTCGTTTTCTCTTCGCCTCGCGCTCAAATTGCAACAGACAGCGACTACGGTGAAGGCTGAAGATGCAAGCAAGGCATTCAGCGCCGAGCGTGAGCCCTACCAATGCACGTATTGTGGCAAGGTGGGACACACGGTGGATCGTTGCTGGACAAAGCAGAAGAACGAAGGTCGGGGAGCCCGACGCGGCGGCAATGGTCGTGGACGCGGGGCTAACAATGTCCAGTGGGGACATCATGATGAAGGCAATGGCTACGATCGAGTGGCGTTTGCAGTCTCGTTCGAATGTGGAGTTTCGACGAGCAAGGACGTGTCTGGAATGTGGGCCGTCGACAGTGGTGCAACGCACCACATTTGCCACGACAAGACCAAGTTCGCAAGTTTGGCAGAGCGCAATGAGGGCGAACTCTTGGTGGCTGATGGCAACAAGGTGGCCATCAAGGGTGTGGGAACCATCATGGAAAAGGTGGTTCTGCCCAACGGTGAAGAGCGTGAGATCGAAATCAAGAACGCGCTATATGTTCCAAGTATGAGCAAGAACCTGCTCTCGGTTGATGAACTTTAGACTTCTTGGTCCGAGTGCAAAACGCAAAGTGAATATATATTTATAATAGGTACTTAGTTCGCAACTTTGAATACTACCTCTAAGCCTATTATTCGCAGTGACGTCATCCAGTGACGTCACCCACTGACGTCACCCACTGACGTCATGCAATGACGTCATCCAGTGACGTCATTTCCTGACTTCGCCCTTACTGGTACATACCGGTACCCACCGGTATAGCGAAGCTTGGTCTTCCACTTGCTTCAACACTTGACGCAGCTTGACGAGGTGTCTTCTTCACAGCCGCTGTCTTTTCAACACTCCCTCTCGACTCGTTAGCTGCGGCACCTTGGATCCCAAGTCGATCGCGAATGTTTTCAAATTGTACAGCGGCGATCGGCTTGGTCATCATGTCTGCCAGCATATCTTGAGTCGGGCAATACTCCAAAACGACTTCACCTGATTCCACCTTCTCACGCACAAAATGGTAGCGTATGTCGATGTGTTTTGTTCTCTTATGGAACTCCGGGTTCTTGGCGAGAGCGATTGATCCTTGGTTGTCTTCATACATCTTGATCGCTTCGTCGCTTGTCATCTCACCAAGTTCCCCCAAAAGCACTTTGAGCCATACTGCTTCTTTGGTTGCTTCGGAAAGCGCCATGTATTCTGCTTCTGTTGAAGATAGCGCGACCGTCCGTTGTTTCTGGCTTTTCCAGCTGATGCATCCTCCGCTCATCATGAACACATAGCCGCTTGTACTTCGTCTTGACTCAATGTCACCGGCCCAGTCTGCGTCGGTGTACCCGCAGATACGGCTTCCTTCTTCACGTGTAAACTCAAGACCATGATTGGGCGTTGCTTGCAGGTATCTCAGCACACGCTTCAAAGCTTGCCAGTGAGTCGGGCATGGGTCGGACGAGAACTGGGATAATGATCCCACTGCAGCAGCTAGATCCGGACGTGTGGCGACCATGAGATACATGATGCCTCCGACAGCACTTCGATATGGCACGTTGCACATGGTGTCTTCGTGCTTGCATTCTTGTTCACACATGTTCTTGGTTAGCTTCAGGCCGGGATCTTGAGGCGTCTTCACTGGCTTGCTGTTATCCATTCCGAACTTGGTTAACACGGACTTGAGAAACTTGGTTTGTTGTACAGTCACCATTCCCGTCTTACGGTCGTTCTTGATCTCCATGCCGAGAAAGTAATCGAGCTCACCGAGATCCGTCATTTCGAAGCGTTTGCTCAGCGCCATCTTGGTTGACTTGAGGAGTTCGTTGTTGCTGCTGGCCAGGATGAGATCATCGACGTAGAGCACCACGAGAATCATGTCTTGGTCGTCTCGCTTGATGTAGATGCAGTGGTCCGATTCGCACTTCTTGAATCCCATCTTGATCATGAACCCATCGATTGTTTGGTTCCACATGCGACGCGATTGCTTCAAGCCGTAGAGTGATCTCTTTAGCTTGCACACATAGTCCGGCTGTGTTGCATCCAGGTATCCGTCCGGCTGGTCCATGTAGATGTCTTCGTTGAGGGAGCCGTTAAGAAACGCTGTCTTGACGTCCATCTGATGTAGCATTAGGCCGTACTTAGCCGCCATACTGAGCACCACACGAATCGATGTGAACTTGGCCACCGGTGCGAAAGTTTCTTCATAGTCAACTCCGAATTTCTGTGAGAATCCTTTGGCCACAAGTCTTGCCTTGAAACGTTCAACTTCGCCATCTTGATTCTCCTTTACACGAAAAACCCATCGGCACCCGATGGCCTTGCGACCTTTCGGAAGAGGCACGATTTCCCACGTGTCGTTTCTCTGAAGCGAATCGAACTCCGAGTCACACGCTTCTTTCCACTTGCCGGAGTCGCTTGATTCCATCGCCGACTTGAATGTAGTCGGCGTTTCCCCACTGAATCAACGATGTAGGCTGCTTCAAAATCCATTGCAGCCGCTGACACATGCTCAAGCGACGGACCTCTGTATGTTCTTCGCTTGGGACTTGGAATGACGGTAGCTTTCTCAAGTGATTGAGTGCGCGTGTGTCTCTTGATGTTGCTCTTCGAAGACCTGGTGTCTTCGTTGTCATCGTCGCTCGAGTCCATGTCGTCGTCAGTTTTACCTTCTTCTTTTTCTTCGTCCTCATCATGATCATCAAACTCAACGACACTTGACTCATCGTTGTAGTTGCGCGGACCTTCATCAAACTTGTCTTCCATGAATGTGGCATCGCGACTGATCTTGATCGCTCCTGTTGACACTTCCTCAAATCGATATGACTTCTGGTGTTCGGCGTATCCCAGGAAACGACAGAGTGATGACTTGGAGTCGAACTTCGCGCGTTTGTCTTGAGGCACTTGAACATACGCGTGGCATCCAAACACTTTAAGGTTGGCCAGAATCGGTTTCTTCATCGTCCACACTTGATATGGAGACTTGTCTTGGTGAATGGCACGTGTTGGACAGCGGTTTCGAAGAAACATCGCCGTCATCACTGCTTCACCCCAGTAGCTCTTTCCCAGTCCAGCGTGTTCCATCATGCAACGCGCACACTCGACCAGCGTGCGATTCATTCTCTCAGCTACTCCGTTTAGCTGAGGAGTATATGGGGGTGTGAACCTTTGTTGTATTCCCCGTTCCGCGCAGAATCGTGCCAGCTTGTCGGACTTGTATTCACCCCCATTGTCGCTTTGAAGGTACTTCACGCGCTTTCCGGTTTGCGTTTCGGCCATCGCAGCGTATTCCATGAACTTCGCCGCAACTTCAGATTTGCTCTTGAGCAGATAGACGACACAGTATCTTGACTTGTCATCAATGAATGTCACGAAGTACCGTTTTCCACTGAAAGTTGCCATCGACATCGGTCCGCATACGTCGCTGTGAATCACTTCGAGGAGTTTGGAGGTGCGAGCTGTAGTGTTTGATTGGAAGCGCACTCGAGTCTGTTTTCCCAGAGCACAACCTTCACAAACGTCCCACTTCTTCACCGAAGATATGTCGATGCCAATTCCAATGTTCTTCGTCACGATGCAATTGAGTCCATCGTGACCTATGTGGCCAAGCCGAAGGTGCCAGAGGTACGACTTGGTGCCCCCTTGACATCCCGGCGACTTGGCTGCATTTGCTTGTTCCGGCGCCACTGGAGTCATTTGCAGCTTGAACAGTCCTTTACCTTCACGGGCACCAATTTTCCACTTGGTCCCTTTCGCTTCTCCATAGCACCCATCCTTCGTGAACGTCACTGGGCCGACATCCTTGGTGAAGCGGCCGACCGAGAACAGGTTTCTGGATAACTTTGGGATGTGCCACACGTTTGTGAGCACACCTTTCTTCATCCCTTGGGGTGTCTTCATCGACATGACAATGTCCCCACTGCCGATTGCTTGGACGATTCCATCATCCGCGAGATGGACATCCACAGCGTCAAACCCCTTGTAGTTCCGCATGAACTTCTTGGAGCACGTCATGTGCTGCGTCGCCCCGGAGTCGACCAGCCAGATGTCGCTCGATTTCGCAGATGTCGTTTCACCGATCGAAAAGAGGTAGTCGCCCGAGTCTTCTTCTTGAGCGACGTTTGCACGTTGTGATCGATAGCGGTCGCCGCTGTCTTGAGCACGCTGTGGCCGGTGTCTCTCCGTGTTTTCTTGGATGCGCGAGGGGCACTCCGCCATCCAGTGACCAATCTTTCCGCAATTGTGGCACGGCCAGGACTTCTTCACTGGTCGCCCTTTGCGCTGATTGTCCCTTGTGATGAACGCTTGACCTTGCGAAGCTTCATCACCTTTACTTCCTTGCTCCTTCCGCTTCATTTCTTCATGAAGCAGTCGAGACGTCACGAGCTCCCAGCTAAGAGTGTCTGAGCGCGACTCCAAAGCTGTGATCAAGAATTGATACGAGTCACTCAGGCTGCCGAGGAGTGTGATCACCAGATCGTCCTCGCAGACTGCAGCCCCCACCGCTTCTAGCTGTTCCGCCAGCGTCTTGAGCTTGTTGATGTGTTCGAGCACATCGTCGCCTTCTTCCATCATTGTCGTGAAGAAGCGACGGCGCAAGAACAGCTTGTTGGCAAGACTCTTCTTCTCGAAGTGGTCTTCCAACCTTGACCATGCGTCGCATGCACCACTTGCCGACCGGACCAACGGTAGCTGGGAATCTTCCATGGCTAGACAGATCACTGCCATCGCCTTTCTTGACTTCCTCTTGTACGTCGCTTGGTCCAACTGAGTCTCGCACTGTTCCGCCTTGATCTCACCGCTGACGACCTCCCATAGGTCCCGTTCCTCCAGCACCATCTGCATCTTGAACTTCCAGGCGTGGAAGTTAGTTCCATCGAACTTGGAGATGCGGAGGGAGGAGGCGTCCATGGCAGCTAAGCTTGAATTGTTGGCGGTTTCAGAGTCTGACGAACTTGGGCTCATAACCTGATGAACTTTAGACTTCTTGGTCCGAGTGCAAAACGCAAAGTGAATATATATTTATAATAGGTACTTAGTTCGCAACTTTGAATACTACCTCTAAGCCTATTATTCGCAGTGACGTCATCCAGTGACGTCACCCACTGACGTCACCCACTGACGTCATGCAATGACGTCATCCAGTGACGTCATTTCCTGACTTCGCCCTTACTGGTACATACCGGTACCCACCGGTATAGCGAAGCTTGGTCTTCCACTTGCTTCAACACTTGACGCAGCTTGACGAGGTGTCTTCTTCACAGCCGCTGTCTTTTCAACATCGGTGCCACAGATTAACAGCCATGGCAAGTTTCAAGTCGTGTTTGACGGGTCCAAGATGTATGTGACTCTCAAGAACTCACAGCAAGTGGTGGCGACAGCGGATTTCGTGGATGGACTCTACTGGCTTCGGACGACTCAACGATCAGCGAATGTGACAACAAGTGGAACCAGTTGTGCCGATCTACATGCGAGAATGGGTCATGCTCCAGTCGATGTACTTCGCAAGATGATCGCGACCAACATGATCAAGGATGTGCGAGTCCCTCTCAAGTCGGGTGGAGCAACTACATGTCGAGGATGTCAACTGTAAGAAGTAGGAGTTAAGTAAAGTAAATGACTTGTATATTACCGCGCACCAGACGCGTTTCGGCCCCCCGCCGGGGGCCTCATCAGTGGTTTGTCAATCTACAAGTGAGAACTATCCATACGTCTAGCTGCCGTACGACCTATAATAATGCATAGAACCCTAAAGAACATTCTAGACATACCCTATCATGGGTCGAATCTCTGGAGTCGAATCCAGTGCATCATGCACTTACAACACTCCCCCTCGACGACATGAGATGCAGACCACTTTGGTATCGACCCGCCTGTAATCCTCACTGCTGCATCCGTGCACCATGGGAATCTTGATTGAGTCTTGCCCCTGCGCTCCAGCCAACCTCGATGATACCGAGCGTTCCAGGTATTCCAGCTCCCCCATCGTCCAGCACCATGTCACATCTTGACATCTCGTAGTCGTCGTTCGCCTTGCATGTAGTTTCCACTTCTTCTTGACCACAAATACACTTGTCACCACTTGACTTGACTCTTCCTTCGATAGCACTCGCGCATTCAGACCATCTCGCGTCACCACCCTTGCACAAACCCTTTTCGACTGCACGCGCACCGTCAACGATCCCTGTCGATGAATTCTTCGGCGCCTTACTCGTGCATCGAGCGCCTTCTCTGACGGGGTGTCCCTCGCACAAGTTGGTCCTTGGTGAGGTGTCTATAGCGAGCACTTGGGCTCATAACCTGTAAGAAGTAGGAGTTAAGTAAAGTAAATGACTTGTATATTACCGCGCACCAGACGCGTTTCGGCCCCCCGCCGGGGGCCTCATCAGTGGTTTGTCAATCTACAAGTGAGAACTATCCATACGTCTAGCTGCCGTACGACCTATAATAATGCATAGAACCCTAAAGAACATTCTAGACATACCCTATCATGGGTCGAATCTCTGGAGTCGAATCCAGTGCATCATGCACTCACAACATCAACAAGGGAAAATGGTCCAAAAACCATTTCCAAGCAACCGAGACAAGCGCAGCTACGATACGTTTGAGCTACTTCATCTGGACATCTGCGGGCCCATGGAAAAGGATTCGCTCGGTGGCAGCAAATATTTGCTACTGATCATCGACGAAGCCAGTGGATGCATGAAGGGCTTTTGTCTACGAGTGAAGTCCGAGAGTGAAGACTACATCCGGAAATATATCACCATGGTACAGACGCAATTCTGTAAGAAGGTCAAGTTCGTGCGACACGACAGAGCTCGCGAGTTTGCAACCAACTCGCTTCAACTGTTCTACGAAGACGAAGGCATTGAACAGCAGACAACGGTGCCGTATGCACATCAAACAAACGGAACAGCAGAGCGTGCCATTAGGACTATTGTCACGATCGGCCGCAGCATGCTTCATCATGCCAAACTGGACAAGTGTTTCTGGGCCGAAGCAGCGATGACGGCCATCTACGTCAAGAATCGACTGCCGTCACCTAAAGTCGTGCACAAGACCCCCGTTTGAGATCGTCTACAACTTGAAACCAAGCGTCAAGCACATGCGAACATTCGGGTGTCAGACATACATACTGACGCCTAAAGAGAATCGACTCAAGTGGGATCCAAAGGCTCGCGCTGGCATATTCGTGGGCTACGAAGAAGTTTCGAAGGCATATCGTGTTTATGACATCGAGGCGGGGCAGGTGGTTATCAGCCGCGATGTCAACTTCGACGAGTCCACCTTTGGACTTCAACTGCCGATCACTGATGAAGATGTCGATGACCTGGACTTCGAATTGCTGGATCTTGATGACGAAGAGCTGCGTCAAATGGAGTACAAGCAAACAGGCAAGCGCAAGAACCGACTCAATGATGAAGATACAGCAGCTCCACGACCGCGTGCAGTGCGTCAACGACCAGGACTAGAAGAGTCAAGCGCGCCGGAAAACAACTCGTCACGACAAGAAGAAGACGAAGAAACGAAGGATTCTGGTGATTCAACACCGCCTGTGTTTTGGCGTGCGAGTGCAAATGCCGTTGAAGCAACAGTGGACTTATCAGAACCCTCAACATTTGAAGCAGCATTAAGCGGCCCTGACCAAGTGCACTGGAGAAAAGCAATTCATGCAGAGCTCGAGTCAATGCGACTTCGCGGTGTGTTTCGTGCAGCCAAGCTGCCCAACGGACAACGCGCCATTGGCACAAAATGGGTGTTCAAGATCAAGCGCAAGGCGGATGGGTCAATCGAGAAGTACAAGGCACGACTTGTGGCCAAGGGTTTCCGCCAAAAGTATGGCATCGACTACACGGAGACGTTTTCGCCGGTGGTCAAGTATGTGACGCTGCGAATGGTGATCGCAATTTCCAAGCATTTTGGATGGCCCATTGACCAGCTTGATGTGGTGACAGCTTTCCTGTATGGCGTCATGAAGGAACAAGTGTTCTGCGTGATTCCTGAAGGCGTCGAACTTGACAGTACGTTCGACTGCCTGGAATTGGTGAAGTCAATTTACGGCCTCAAGCAAGCGTCGCGAGTGTGGAACGAGACGTTCGACGAGTATGTGTGCTTCATCGGATTTCAAGTATCGGACTTCGACCCATGTCTCTACATCAAGACTTCGGACGGCCATTGCGTGTTTATACTGGTCTACGTGGACGACGTCTTGGTGACTGGAAGCTCGCTCGAGCTGATTGCACAAACCAAGAACGACCTGAAGACGCGGTTCGAAATGACGGACAGCGGCAAGTGTGCGTTTGTTCTTGGGATCGAGCTTTTGGACGGTGAAGATGGCAGTGTGACACTATGTCAGCGTCGGTATGTCGATGATATCCTCAAGCGCTTTGGCATGGATGATTGCAAGGCAGTCGCAAGTCCAGTCGACATGAGCTCTCGACTTGTTTCAAGTGATGCAACTACCAAGGTCGATGCTCCTTTTCGCGAAGCTGTTGGTGCGTTGATGCACCTGACCACTGCAACGCGTCCGGACATTGCGTTTGCTGTGGGCTGTGTGTCGCGGTTCATGGAAAATCCCCAAGAAGAACACTGGGTTGCAGTTAAGCGTATCTTTCGCTACCTACAAGGCACCAAGACGCATGGAATTTGCTACAAGCCAAGTGCAAGGATCGACTTCCGTGGATATTCGGATGCGGATTGGGCTGGTGATCTTACCGACCGCAAGTCAACATCGGGGTACACGTTCATGCTACTCGGTGCGCCAGTCAGTTGGGGCAGCAAGAAGCAGCCAAGTGTTTCGTTGTCCACGAGTGAAGCCGAATACATCGCACTCAGCTTGGCGATTCAAGAGGGCAAGTGGATTCATCGTCTGCTTTGTGAGATCGTGATGGCTGCCAATGAAGAAGGACCGGAACTCATGATCCATGAAGACAATCAGTCGTGTATCAAGATGACGAAGAACCCAGTCAACCACGGCCGTGCCAAGCACATTGATATCAAGTACCATCACATCCGTGATGAGGTCAAGCGCGGTGAAGTGAAGCTCAAGTACTGTGAAACTGCGGTGATGTTAGCGGACATCATGACGAAGGGACTTCACGGGCCACGCCACAAGGAGATGACGGCGACTCTCGGGATTCGTGAGCATTCGGATTGAGGGGGCGTGTTGACGGTCATCGGTTTTCTACCAGTATTGGTAACCGTGACCGATCCAATCCGAACCGCCTGTTCAGCTTAGTATTTACGACGTAGTTCTTACGGTAATTACCATAGTTGATTAGACGCGTAGGATGATGAGACGCTTCACATGATTTATATGTACACCACATATAAATCATGTAGTAAGTAGTAAGTCCCGATAATCAATCACTTTCGAATCTTCCAACTATTGGGCAAGTGTTTTCTGCTCTACTCTCTTCGGTCTCTCCGCTCCGTTCGCTCCGCTTTCCTCGCTCCGATCTACAATACAACAGGTTATGAGCCCAAGCGCCATGTCGTCCACCAGCAACGCCTCCATTGACAAGTTCAACGGAGACAATTACGCAACGTGGAGCCGGTACATGCGCGGTGTGTTTTTTGACGAAGTCCGTCTGGCACGTTGTCAACCGTGAAGTGACTCCGACTTTCACCGACCCGCGAGCGTCCGATGACTACGTCAAGGCAAGCAACGTCGCGTTTGGTATGATGCTGCTGCACATGAACGCGGACTACCATCATGTGCTGGACAACTGCGAGGAAGCCTGGGTTGCGTGGACAAGTCTGAAGACGCTGTACGGTGGGCCGCAGAAGGCAGGACGCATCTACCTCAAGCGACAACTTTTCAGTATCAAGATGGCTGAAGGCGCGAACGTCATGCATCACTGCAACGAGGTCCTCAACATCTCCGCCAAGCTTAGCGGCATCGGTGCGAAGATGGAAGACGAAGACGTTGCAATTTGTCTGCTACTCAGTCTTCCGAAGAGCTACGAAAATGTGGTGCTCAACATGGAAATGAGCAGCACCGAGCTTCGCACTCAAGATGTGGTGAGAGTCCTGACGAATGAGCATGCCAAGCGTCAAGGAGAAAAAGGGACAACGACAGCGACTACGGTGAAGGCTGAAGATGCAAGCAAGGCATTCAGCGCCGAGCGTGAGCCCTACCAATGCACGTATTGTGGCAAGGTGGGACACACGGTGGATCGTTGCTGGACAAAGCAGAAGAACGAAGGTCGGGGAGCCCGACGCGGCGGCAATGGTCGTGGACGCGGGGCTAACAATGTCCAGTGGGGACA